CTCACCTTTCAGAGATAATTTTGGAGGATGTTATTCCAGTCATATTTCTTCTCTACATCTTTTTTAAATGATTGGACTCACAGTTTGAGTATCCTAATTTTTAGGCACAGTATAGGTGCATTCTCATGCGCCGGAGGAGGGTGACATCCAGAGGAAAGACGTTACTAAAAACCCTACTGAGGCTTAGAGAGGTGAAAAGTAATGTTCCTTTTCCCATCATTGACAATGGCTGTAAGGATGAAGTTCAAATTATTCGAAGTTTGGGGAACCCTGGTTTTGAGTCCAGGGACATCCTTAGGTAATTCCTTCTCCCTTCACCAGGAGCATGAGAACAGGAGTGCCTTTAGGGAGAGAAACAGGAAAATCTAGTTCTTGCTTAAGCCTAAAAACTAGTTCATTCCTTCCTTCATGTAACTGACACCCGCTTATTTTCTGAGCACCTGCTCTGTGGCAGGTACCTGGTTGGGCAGCAGGATACAGATGTGGAGGAGATACAGTGCCTGCCAAGGGGCTGGGTGCAGTAACCAGAGCTCAGAGTACAGAGAGTTAGGACAAGGACATTAAACGAGATGATCCGTGTGAATTGCCAGGGCTCAGTACTCATAGCCACCTGCCACCTGCTGAGATAGGCACCCCAAGGAGAGGAACCTGCAGGGGCAAAGGCCCAGAGGAGCCAGAGTGCTCTGCAAGTCTGCCCATAGAGTGCACTGCAAGGCTCGCCCAGCCTGGGACCTGACCAGCTGCTTGTCCTGTAGGCTCCAGATCCCATATTCTGGGGACCCACAGACTGGTTTTTCTGGTTTGCTTCCCCAGGGCAATTTGCATATTTCTCTGAAGAATGATCTAAAACCTGCACAGCCTGTCTGCAGACTTAGAGGGGAGGCCCACAGTTGTTTCTGGAAATCTGGGTGTTATTTAGGGTTTCATTTTCTTTAGATGCCCTTACCATTATTTAAAATCATCTTACTTCTGAGTTTACATATTTATTGTCCATGTAACTTCCCGGATAGGGGTCTTTGTATGTCTGTCTTAGTCACCACTGGAGTAGGTGCTGATGCATGTTGATTAGATTAACTAGTTAAAAGGGAAATATTTATTTACAGCTTACTTAGGCCTTAAGAAAAGGTCTTTAAAATTCTATAGAAATAATAGAATTACAAGGTTTTTTTACTTTCTATTTTAAAAAAATAATTATAAACTCACAGGAAGTTGCAAATATAGTACCGTGAGGTCCCTTATACCTCACTCGGCTTCCCGCGTGGGCGTCGCCTGTGCAATGAAGTCCAAACTCCTTAGCTGGACGGACTTGGCTTTGCATGGTGTATCCCTGGCAGCTTCCACTGCAACCTCATTTCTTCCCTCACACCCCTCAGCGCTCCCATCATCCAAGCCCCGGCTACACCAAACGTCTTCTTAGTTCTTCAGAGGCATTGTCTCTCTTCCACCTCTGGGTCTTGACACGTGCTGTCCCCTCTGCCCAGGACATGCCCTTCCTACCCACCTCACCCCTGTCTGATTCACTCCTGTTTGTTCTTCAGGGCTCAGCTTAACTGTCACCTTCTCCAGTGCTGGGTCCCCTCTTGGTGTCCCTCTGTCTCCTGTGTTTCCCCTTCACAATGTTTATCCTGCAGGTTTGTCATCTGTCTACTTGTCTGTCTCTACCACCGTCCTGTTTCCTCTGCTGGGACGCCCTCCGCCACCCATCCTGTGACTCCCTGCAAGCCTCCGCTGGAATGACACTTTTCATCCACATAGTAGTCAGCCCTCCCCCTCCATCACTTCATGTCCCCCTCACCCTAATCGCCCTTGCCCCCGTCCACTGCTTATTGATTCAGTGGGCTGCTAAGGGCGTAGATGCTGCAGCCAGACCTCCTGAGTGTGACTCTTGGTTCCACCACTTCGTAGCTCTGCAACCTTGACCCACGTACCCAAATCATTTTATCATTATGTTTCGGCGTATTGTTGCCTGTCTCCCACCAGAATGTGTGCCCCTTGAGAGCAGGGCATTTGTCAGTTTTGTCCCCTGATCTGCCCCGAGGTCCAGAACAGAGCATTCCGCATCTCACACCCTTCTTCATCCAGCGAGCGTTGGTTGATGTCTATGGTACTGCCGGGCCTGCGCTCAGAGCTGGGGTGCAGCAGTGAAAAACAAGCAGGGGCCCACCTCGGGAAGCTTACATTCTACCTGTATACACAGGTGAAAAAATAAGTTAAAAAACTCCATTATTTTGGATAGGGATAAGTATTATAAAAATAGAACAGAGTGCTGAGATGGAAGAGCAGAGGTACTTTAGCCTGGGTGGTCCAGGAAGGCCTCTCAGAGGAGGTGACACCCAGGCCAAGGCCAGAATGAAGTGAGGGTCTGGGAAGAGTGTTCCAGACAGGGGGAATGGCAGGTGCGGAGGCCTGGAGGCGGGGGGCAGGAAGACAGCCAGTGTGGCTGTAGCGTAGTGAGCAAGAGGGCGGGGGCGTGAGGTGGAGGTCAGCAGCAGGCGGGGGCCCGTCACGCGGGACTTTGTCGGCCATCACATGGGGATTGGGATTTTTTCCTGGTGCGATGGGAAGCCTTTGGAGGCTTTTATGCAGGCTTATATGTGACCAAAGGCCACTAGGGCCACTATGTAGGGAATGCATTGTAAGGAACCAAGAGTGTATTGTGTTGAACAAATGAATGAATTTGGCCAGAGCTGAGGTTTTTTTGGACACTAAGCACCTCCCCCTCATCCCTGTGGTTAGAAACAGGCCAGCTCACGTTTCTCTGTTTATTCTTGAGCTAAGAACTGACGTGGGGCTCCCCAGATACCAGCCCCATGAAATAGCACCCTGGGCTCCTCTGAGTAATAGGTGCAATTACCATGGCCTCCATATGGCGCATGCAATCGGTTAAATGCAGTGGAAATTGCTGAGCCCGCTGACGACATGGCTGGCGCTGCCCTCAGTTTGTGGTTTGCGCCGTCCTCGTCTCTCCACCCCCGCAGGCTGGGGCTGACCCTCTGAGCCAGGGAAATCTGCCGTGAATCTCAAACTCGGGTTCCTGGAGCAACCATTGAGGCTGGTCTTGCTGGGTGACTTTGGGCAAGGTCTTGACTTCTCTGGGCCTCAGTTTCTCCATCTGAAACAAGGGAAAAAAGATCTCTGTGCCCATGTAGAGGAAGGACTTCAAGGTTTGGAGTCAAAAGTTGGCTTGGATCTTATCATTTACTGTGTGACTTTGGGAAAAATCACTTTGCCCCTCTGAGCCCGTTCCCCGGTTGTAAGAGGGAATCATATGGTTCATGTTCTACTTAACTTTACATGGTAGTTATGAGAACTAAATGGATTGGAAAGTGCTTCGCAAACTGTTACATGCTGTGAAAGTATTGATTTGTTGCTTTTAACTACTTTAGGGTTTTTTGTTTTTTGGTTTTTTTTTTTCTTTTTGAGATAGAGTCTCACTCTGCCACATGGGCTAGAGTGCAGTGGTGTCATCGTAACTCATTGCAACCTCAAACTCCTGGGCTCAAGCGATCCTCCTGCCTCAGCCTCCCGAGTATCTGGGACTATAGGTTGTACACTACCACTCCCAGCTAATTTTTCTATTTTTTTTTTTTTTTTGGTAGGGACGGGATCTCACTCTTGTTCAGGCTGGTCTTGAACTCCTGGCCTCAAGCAATCCTCCTGCCTCCCGGAGTGCTGGGATTACAGGCGTGAGCCACCGCACCCAGCCTTCAGGGTTGTTTTAAAAGGTAATGAATTATTACTGTGGACAGACTTTTAAGTAACTCTTATATAGAAGTAATATGTTGAGAACAAAAGTTTTTGTGGCTCAGCTAGATGGGAACAAACTTATAGATCAAGAGCAGCGTGGAGTGTGGTTATTAGACTAGAAAACTCTTGGCAGTATGACTAGTATTTAAAACAGAGGTGGTGGCCAAGAGCTCTGTCTTTGGGCTTGGTCAGTCTGCCATTTACTGGCCCTGTGACCTGGGCGCAGTTACTTCTCTGAGCCTGTTTCCTAATTTGCAGACTGGCCATTATGGTCCTACCTGCCTCACAGAGTTGGCTAAGGTGACACATGTTAAAATTACAGCCCCAGTGCGCGGCATTCGTAGTAACTCAGTAATGTTAGGCCCTGTGGTCGTTTATTACACCTTTGCTGTGTGCCGGGCACCATGCTAAGCATTTACTTATTTGCTTGTGGGTTATTTATATACTTGTCTCTTTAACAAACATTTATATAGCATAAGCCTCACGGGCTCCATTCTAGGCGCTTTACAAATGCTAACCCACGTGGGCTGTGTTGTTCACATCTTGCACAGCTCTTCCAGGTAGGTGCCACGGGGTCCCACTTGCAGGGGAAGAAATCTAAGTGTGGAAAACTGAAGTTGCCCAGGGTCCCATATCTACTGGGCAGCAGTGCTTGTTTTCAAGCCCGGGTCTTTGTGGGCCTGAGCCTGTGTTCATGTCCTTGGTGCCCTGTAGTCGAGGCTGGCTTCCTTCCCTCTACCCCTTCTGGCCACTCCCAGGGCCGTTCCTGCCCCCCACCCCCATGCCTGGCTTGGCCTGTCTTCGCTGTCCTCTCCTCCCCGCTTCTCTTCACCCCCCTCTATCACTCCCCCCTGGGAGGGAAAGAAAGAATGGAGGGAAGGAGGAGAGAGAGGGAGGACAAAGGAGGAGACTTCCCTCCCTCCCCTCCTCCGTCCTTCCTTCCTTCCATTGAGTATAGCACACACACAGTGCACAGTGGATTTTTAAATACATTACACTCGTATAACCACCACCCGGGTCAAGGTAGGTGTCCCAGAAGCCCCTCAGTGTCCCTGTGGATCCAATACTCCCTCCCACAGGTAACCTCTCTTCTGACTTCTGTTACCATCCATTGGGGTTACCTGCTCTTCCATTCCACATAAAGGGAACCTCACAGCCTGTACTCTCTCGCGAATAGCTTCCCACGTGTCATTCTGTCTGTGAGACTCGTTCATGTTGTGGTTAGCCGTAGTTCGTTCTTTCTTCATTGCTGGGTGATGTTTCACGGTATGAACAGGACGCAGCGTGTCCAGTCTACCATGACGGGCGTGTGGGTTGTTCCAGTCTGGGACTATTGCGAATGCCCTGCTGCGAGCATTCATGGACGCGTCTCTGCGTACACAGCCCTCGTGGCTCAGGAGTGGACCTGCTGGGGCCCGGGGAAGACATATGGTCAGCTTTATCAGATGCTGTCAAACTACTTTCCAAATGGTTGTACCGATTTACACTCCCGCCAGCAGCGTGTGAAAGTTCCGTTTGCTCCTCACCCCCGCCAGCACTTGGTACTGTCGGTCTTCTTGGTTTTACCCATTCTGGTAGGCAAGCGGTAGCATCTCCTCGGGGTTTAAACTTCCGTTTCTCTGATGACTAATGATGTGGAACACCTTTTCAAAAACTCGTTGGCCATTGGGATGTATTTTATGAAGAATCTATTCAAGTCTTTTGCCCATTGTAACATTTGCTTCATTTCTTTTTCGTACTGGTTTGTAAGAGTTGCTTATGTGCCGCGGTACAGATCCTTTGTTGATGCACGCATCGAAAACCCTCCCCGCACCCCACTCTGTGCTGTGTTTTCACTCTCTTGAAAGCGATGAGGAGAAGTTCTTCATTTCAGCGAAGCCTCATTCATCTTTTATAGTTTATCATTTTTGTGTCCCATTCAAGTAACCTTTGCCTACCCCGGAAAAGATTCTCACTGGGATTTTTCCCGCAGGGCTGGGAATGGCCACACGGCAGGCTCAGCGGCCTCAGGTGGCCAAGCCAGCTTCGGAGGAGGAGCCACACCCACCCGTGGGCCGGGAGCTGACGGAGGCCAACCGCTTCGCCTATGCCGCCCTCTGTGGCATCTCCCTGTCCCAGCTGTTTCCGGAACCCGAGCACAGGTGAGTTCTTTTGTCTCGCAGAGGGAAGGCCATGCTTCTTCAGGGAGACGATTAGGGACAGGCAAGCAGCCTGCCAGGGACTGCGGCACAGTACGAAGAGGAGCAGATCACTGTCCTCGCCTTTAAGGAATTCTCAGTCTGGTAGGGCATAAGACATCCCCTCATTCAGTTACTCATTCATTTCTACCTCTGTCAGGCGTATTTTGAGCGCCTACTGTGTGTCAGGAACAATTTGAAGTACATGAAGGGTGAATGGGAATGAGACAGACGCCATCCCTCCCCTCAAGTGTGACGTAGTCTAGGAGGGAGATAAGATGTTTATTCATTCATGCAACATGGATTTGTTGAGCACCTACTATGTGCTGGGTATAGTAGCCCTGTGGAAGAAACAGAGCAAGGCCTGGCTCCTGCCTTTCAGATGCTTGTGTGTAGGTGTGGGCACCCAGGTGTCTGATTATGGCAGCCAACAGCTACAGGTGAGTGAGTGCCAGGTGCAGGGGAGTGAGTGAGTGCCATGACAGGTTTAAACAGGGTGCAGTGGGAGCAAAAGGATGTTACAGGTTTAATAACAGTGTTATACCTAATGCCTGTCATTGCCGATATCTACTGTGTGTTTTTTAAAATTACATATTTGGAATCAGAATAGCAGAATCGTTAACACTATGGGCTTTGGCCTTCAAGGATTCTATGGGGAGAGCTTGGAGGCAGGAGGAGGCCAGTAGGAGGCTGATGGGGTCAACCAGGGGAACCAGGACAGTGACCGAGGGCTGCAGGGAGGGCACACCTGGAACAGACTCTGCTCAGGGAGAATGGAGTTTTCTTGGGAACAGGTTGAATGTCGAGGGTGAGGCAGAGGCAGACGCTGTGTGGCTCCAAAGGTTCGGGTAGAGAGAAGAGCATAGGACAGAGATACCGTTACAGGGAACACAGGTCGGAGGGCAGGAGATGATGAGACGTTCTTGCATCTGCAATGTTTTTAAAACACTCCCCTTCCCCCCTTTCTGCTCACTGGTCCCCGTTGAGTAAACTTCCCTCATGCCTTGGGTCTTAGCTGTTTGGGGTTTTTAGTTTTGGTTTTGGTTTTGTTTTGTTTTCTGATACAGAGTGTCACTGTGTCACCGGGGCTGGAGTGCAGTGGAGTCATCATAGCTCACTTCAAACTCAAACTCCTGGCCTCAAGCAATCATCCTGCCTCAGCCTCCTGATTAGCTGGGACTACAGGCGCACACCACCATGCCCAGCTAATTTTTTTATTTTTTGTAGAGACAGGGTCTTGCTTTTGCTCAGGCTGGACTCGAACTCCTGGCCTCAGGCAATCCTCCTCCCTCAGCCTCCCAGAAGTGCTAGGATTACAGCCGTGAGCCACGGTGCCCAGCCTTATTTTTGTTTTTCCTTTGTCAATCCACTCGTCTGAATACTTGAGCATTTTCAACTCCATGGGGGCCACCTCCAGGAAGCCTCCCCTAGCCTGTTCCCAGACCAGGGTGTCACTCCACCTGTATGCTCAGTGACCCATCACTGCGCCCGCCACACTGCACTGGAACCCTTCCATTCCCATCACTCCTCCAGTTTGAGCTCCTGGGGGCAGAAGCCACCTTGTTGACCTCTGAGTCCCCAGTGCCTCGCACACAGCTCAGTGCAGCAGAGACACTTGGTAAAGACTGATGAAAAGAAGAGGTGGGTAAATGCTGGCTTTGTTAACAAGGAGACATTCTGTAGGCGTTGGCTTCAGATCTGGGTTCAGATCCTAGTTCTGCCACTTTCCAGTTGCATGTGCCCTTAGGCAGGCTATTTAACTTCCCTAAGTAAGCATCAGTCTCTTCCTCTGTAGAGTGGGGCTAACAATACCCGGGGTGATTACAAGAATCAAATGAGCTGATGTAGGTAAAGCACGTAGTAGGCTCTCAAAAAATAGCAGTAGTTGCTTGCTTAACTCTGTGACTTATTTTCTTTACCCAGTTTCCTCCTCTGGAATCTGAGGATAATATTGACCTTACTCCTACTAGGCAGGGTGTTTGGGGCTGCAAGTAATGAACATGGTACTAAAAGAGATTTAGACAACAGGAGATTTATTTTTTTCACTTAACAAAAGATCCAAAGGTAGGTAGTTCAAGGATTGATTCATTGCCTCAAAAGGCCTTTGGGTTGGCTTCTCAACAATTCTATTGTTCTTCTCCCTCCTGATCACAAAATAGCTGCTGCAGCTCCATGCATCACACCCTCTCAGGACAAGGCCCAAGTCAGGAAGGAGGGGAGCAAGAATTCTCAAGTCTCTCATCAGGGGAGAGATCTTTCCCCAAATATACCCAGAAGCCTTCCTTTTATGTCATTGGCTAGGTCCTGTCACGTGCCCGGTAACAAATAAAGGCACTCACCATCTTCAGTCTCCATTGTGGAAGTGGGTTCTGCTGGGGAATTACGGCTTCAGAGAAATGGCCAACATTGTTGGCAGCACCATCAGAGAGGGTGGCTGTAAGGAGGGCATGCGTTGATGGCCCCTGCAGAGGCTGGCACAGAGTTACTGCCAAATAAGTGGTGGCTGTTATTATTATTAATAACAGAACCCCCACCCGATAAACCAGCACATAGCCAAGGAAGAGCTTCGTGTACTTTGTTTCCATAAACGAGTATTTATCAGCCTGTACTGTGTGCCAGGGCTGTAGTAGGCGCCACCTAGGAGGGCACACGGGGCAGCGAGTTATTGTCCCGTGTCCCCATAGCCCTGTGACGTCTAAGTGTTGTTCCAAACACAGGCAGCTGTTGCCTGGCCATAAACATTTGCCTTGGGACGTTCTTTCTTGAATGTTTCCAATTCAGTATGTCAGTTGTTTCCACATGGTTGATCCATCTTCTGAGGCACAAAACACATTTTTCAAAAAATCTCAATCTTTCTAAAGCCCAGATATGCTTTTGGTTTCAGTAATCTTTAGAAAACACTCGGGCAGTTTTTGTCCCCATGGGGTATAAAAGCAAGCCTCTAAAATATTTCTTATCCATGCCGTAAACATCACAGATGTTGTTCCCTTCAATTAATTCCATTTATTAAACGTGGAGAAATTAATGAGGTAGAGCAGGGTCGGCAAACTTCTTCTGCCAAAGGCCAGATATTTTAGGAACACACGCGGGATGGTCTCTGTCGCAGTTACTCAGCTTTGCTATTGTAGCCCCAGAGCAGCCATAGACAGTATGTAAAGGAATGCACGTGGCTGTCTTCCAATAAAACTTTATTTGCAAATATGGGCTGCAGGCCACGTTTGGCCTGTGAGTTGCAGTTTGCTAAGCCCTGGTGAATGGGAGGAGCTTTGGACTGACCAGGAGGCTGAAAGCCTGGATTCCAGGTGAGGCTTTGCCCCTTCCCTGCCGTGAGACCCTTGAAAAGACATTTAACGAGCAGCCTAGGTGCGCCATCTGTAAGGCGGGCTAGGATGGAGGGGGTGTTTCGTGAGTGGCCAGTGCCTGGCGAATGCTCAAGGATGCAACCGCGGGAGAGGAGCAGTCTCTGCGGTGAGCAAGCATGGCTTCTGGGGTCCCAGAGATGTAGGTTTGAACTGGGAGCTGTCGCTTAACCTCTTTAGATCTGGGTTTTCTTATCTAGAATGGGGGTAAAATAGTACCTACCTCCCTTGTGGGGCTGTGGTGAGAATTAAACAACTCAGTGTGTGTAGCACACTTGGCACAGGGCCTGCCAGGCAGTTGCTCTGTGATTATTTGTTGTCACTGTTGCTGTTGATTTTTATGTGTGTCAACTAGACCACCAGCCACGTTAGTAGCAATTACCAAGGCCCTGCCGATCTAAAATGCTACTCATTATTTGATACATTGCTGCATGGGCACTTTACATATATATTTGTTAATTTATTTGCCCATGTAAAGAAACATATATAGTGCTTTATATGTGCCAGGTATTATTCTAAGCCCGTGACAAATATTAACTTAGTTAATCCTTCCATCTACCCTATGAAATAGGTTTCATCATCTCTGCTGTTTTACAGATAAAGAAACTGAGGCCCAGAGAGGTGAAGTAACTTCTGTCTGAGATCACACAGCTAGTGGCAGAGCTGGAATTTGAACCAGAAGCTGTGCTCCGTGCACTCTGTTACGAGACACTTCTCTACATCCAAGACTTGCTTTGTAGACAGCAGGGTCAGGCCATGCTGCTGCCTTTGGCCCTACGCCCTTTCTGCTTATAAATTCACCCCTAAGTAATGTTCAGTTCACTTAGCCGTCTCCTCTCCCTCGTGCACACCCACCTACCACCCCAGGGTAATCCCAGTAAATTGTAGTGGACTAAAGGATAATCACTGTCATAGCAGTAGCTAACATTTATCAAGTGTTTACCGGTGCCAGACACTGTTACTATGTCATTTAATCTGCCCAACTAAGCTAGAGGCAGGCCCTGTTATCGTCCACATATTACTACGGAGGAAGATGGAGCTAAGAGAGGTGAAGTGAGGACACAGCAGAGTCAGGACTCTTCCAAGTGGTTGGACTCTAGATCTTGACTCTAAACCCTGTCCCCAGCTGCCTCCCTCTGTGACCCTGTACATAAAAGTGATGGCTAACTTTAGTTGAACATCTACTACATGCCACGTCCTCTCTGAGTGCTTTACGTGTTATCACCTCGTCTAATCGTCAACCAACTTTATGAAGTTGGACTCTTGAACCCATTTTGCAGATAGGAACACTGAGGCACAGAGAGGTCAAGGTACTTTCCCAAGGTGCTGTGCCCTCAAATCCCCCCTCAGGAATAAAGGACTTTCACCCTCAGCAGCTGGGAGGGCCACCAGCCCAGCCCTGAGCTGCCTGTCCCCTTTGGGACCCACCTCAGCTAAAGAGAGCCACCTTGCCCAAGGTTCTGCCCCCGCCCTGGGGAACCTGCGTCCGGTGACTGGCTGATGTGGGGCTATGAAGACCTAGCCCTCTCAACCCACTGGGGCAGCTCTGAAGGGTCATCCCCACCCATTCTTGCAGGGTGGGCTGAGGCCTCCCTTGAGACTGCACCATGGCTCAACTGCCCCCTCTGCCCAGGCCTGCTTCATCCCTCCCCTCGCACGAGTCTTGATCCCCAGGGGAGCCCTCACCTTCTCCAAGGCCTCTTTCAAGGCAGCTTCCTGGGAATCCAACCACAGGATTCAAACGCTAGCTCTTCACTGCTCCCGTCAAGGGCCCTGGCCTGAGGTCTCTCCACTTTGTGGCCACACTAAGGAATAGGATGGGTGGCCCGTGTGGTACAGGGTGGGGCTTGGGGGGTGGAAGGGGCTCCTGAGGTCACCCCCATCACTAGGGAGCTGTGCTTGTTCCTGGGAAGCCTGAGCCCACCCCGGTCTGGTCACAGTCCCTATAGAGTGCAGAAGCCGGGCTGGAGTCCCAGGCAGTGTGGTTCGAGGCAGGCTGGGACTCTGATTTTGGAGACAGGCCTGGCCTCTGGCTGTCAGCCTCTTCCCTGGACTGATATAACCGCCTCCTAATTGACTCCCCTGCTCCACGTCCCCCCAACTACCCGCCCCCCGGCCCACACCTGCCCCAGAGGTGGCTGTGTCAGAAGTCTGATGTGGACTCTGCCACGTCCCCGATGTGCCGTGGGCTCCTCGTCTGTGTCTCAGCCCACAGGGCCCTTCTCTAGGGCGGCCCCATCCGCTCACATGCCCACTGGGGACAGAGCCCCGTGGTGGCAGTGCCCGTGGCGGGGAGGGCACCCTCCCTCACTCTATCCACTTCTGCAGCCGCCAGCTTTTCTCCAGAAAGCACGTCCTTGGTGATTTCCGAGAGCGGCAAATCGCCTTCTCTGGGAAGCCTTTTCCAATCGCTGCCGTCACCTCCGCGGGTGGCCGTGGGGCTCCCCCTCTGGGCTGCTTAGGACTGGGCGCTGCGTCTGTCCTGGGGCGCCACACGGCACTGCGGCCATTCGGTTCCTCGAGCATCTCCACCCGCCGTGAGACAGAGTCTTGTCCCCCGTTGGTTCCTCAGCCCCCAGCACGGCCATAACTGCCCGTGGCCCTCGTCCCTGTGGTGTGTCGGCCTCTTTGGTCAAAGTTTTGGTGGGAGAAGAAGCTGTTAATAGAATCCACATCACCTAAAATTAGGATCACAGTCACTACGTTCCATGTGTGTGCGTGTGCGTGTGTGTGCACGTGCCGGCTGTTCACACCCACGAGCACCGCTGACCTGCACTTCCCAGCGGCCTTGTGAGGCCGAGTGCCCGGGCGCTCTGGGATCTGAGCCCCGTCTGCCTTTCAGCTCCTTCTGCGCGGAGTTTGTGGGGGGCCTGGTGAAGTGGCTGCAGCTGTCCGAGGCCGTCTTGCCGACCATGACTGCTTTCGCCGGTGGCCAGGGAGGCGAAGGAGCAGACGTGTTCGCCCAGATCTTGTTGAAGGACCCCATCTTGAAGGACAACCCGCTGGTGATCGCTCAGGTACGCCTAATACCTGGTGGCAGCTGTCAGGCACAGTGGAACAAAGCATCGTCTTTCGGAGGCCGTCTGAAAATTGCTTCTAAGGGGAGCGAAGTGGTTGAAAGATAAAATATGTCCTCATAATATCACATTATGAGATGATCAGAGCTGATGTTGAATTATCCTTATTGAATATTTAGTATCTACTTAATGCTAATCTAGTAGTGTTTACTATGTGCTAGTACCTTTACAAAAAGTAACTCATGTAATTCTCAAAGCAATGTTATGAGGTAGGTAGTAGTTGAGAAAACTGAGGCACAGAGAGGTTAAGTAATTTACCCAAGGTCACACAGCTGAGAAATGGCCAGACCCGGACTTGAACCTCGGCGGTCTGACACCAGAGCCCACGTTTCCCCAAGGCACGGTGCCTCTTTTCAGAGCAGGAGCTCTGCCATGTGCCTTTGAGCATGTCACTCGCCCGCTGTGTGTGCAGTTAGGGCACACGGAAGCTGCGACACAGGCTGTCGATGGGGCAAGCGCGTCGATTTAAAACAGCCCCTGCCCTCCTTCATCTCGCTGCCCGGAGTTCTGGCGTATTTCTTTCCTTATCTGCTACTGGTTTATTATCTGGCTTGCCACTGGGGTCCAGGGCAGAGGCTTTGTGTCTGTCTTGTTCTCCATGGTAGGAGTTGATAAATATTGTCAAATCGCAGGCTGACTGCATATCACCTTGTCACTGATTCCATGCCTTTCCCCTCAGGACCTGCTGACCTTCTCCCTCCAGGATGGTAAGTCGATTTTCTAAGCTCTGTAAATTGTGGGTGTCCGTCTTCACCCCCAGCCAGTGAAGCCAGTGGTAGGTGCTGACACCTGGGGCCAGGTCCCCCATGGCCTTTTTGGCACAAGGAAGGACAGAGAGCCCAGTATCACTGGAGGGGGGGGGGACCTTCGTTCGTGCCAAGGCTGTGGGGTCCTTCAGCACTCGTGTCTCTGCTCCCCCACAATGGGCCCGCGGTTGTACCTCCTCTGTAGCTCTTGAATCTGGCCCTTTCCCCACCTCCACCCACCCCCTGGTCCGAGCCACCGCCACCCCTCCTGGATGACAGCGGGGTCAGCTCCCTGGTCTTCCTGCCACCACCCTGCGGCTCGAATGATCTTTTCAAAGGCCCATGTGACCGCACCACCTCCCTGCCGATCGCCTGTGCTGCACTCAGGAGAAAGGCAGGCCCTCTGGGGTGGCTCTTGAGGCCCTAGTGGGCTCGCCCCTGCCCCCTCCTAAGGCCCTAGTGGGCTCGCCCCTGCCCCCTCC